TGAAATCCTTAACGTTGTTCAAGTGTTCACCCCAGCCCAAGCTGTTACTGTTTGTTACTGTTGTTAGCTTGTTACTGTTGTTCAGCGGTCAGCAAGCAGAAAATCCCAAAAAACCCGGGTAAAAGCTAAAACCCGAAAATACCTCTGGGTTTTCCCGGATATTTTCGGGTATTACCCGCACTGGACGCTGGAGATCGTCGTGGGTCACTGCCAGGCCTTCCTTATTGTTGTTCAGCCGGCCTAACGTTAGCTACTGTTGTTGGGGAGCCCCACTGTTGTTCTGTTGTTACTGTTAACACTGGCCAATATAGCAACCGAGACTGACACTGTTCACACAGCTCCGTCTGGTGCGTGACGTGTGTGGATCCAGGGGGGGATGGCGCGCCGGGTGTCACATAGGAGAGGAGAGGTCCACGGACCACGCAACACCACACACTAAAATGAATTGTATTTTTATTCAAATTGTATAGAGTCACCCCGCAGCACCGGGCCAGGCCACATCAAACCCAATCCGCGCGACGTTAATCATCGTCATTGTCATAGCTGAAGTCAGAGCCATACCACGGCGGGGGCGAGGGCGGCGCCTCGGCCTGCCCTCGCACGGCCACCCGAACCGCGCCCACCGCGAACGCTGCGATGCACACGCTGCCGAGGACGGCCAAGGCATGCGAGCCGCCTAAACGCCAGCGTCTGCACGACGACTGCAGGCACGAGAGACGCCGAGAAGAGCAGCGCCAACTTGAGCAGCAGCAGCACGAGCGAGAGCAGGCCTTCGATCAAGAGGAGAAAGGCGCCGACGACGGCCGCCTCGCCGCCCTCTGCGTCGTTCTCGAGACCGACCCATTGAAACCACCAGTCCTCCGGCGAGACCTCGATGATTCCGAGCACGAGGGCAGCGGCGGAGGCAGCAGTGGAGGCGGCAGTGCCGACGGCTAGAGAAAGCAGCGCCGCCGAGGCCGCGACGGGATGCGACGGCACGGCGCAGCCCTTCCTCCCAAAGACTCGCGTGGCCGTGAGGGTGAGCTTGCGCGAGGTGGCGCTCGCCAGCCGAGCAGGGATGCTCGGCTGATTGTCGCCGCCTCTTGCGCGAGCCTCTTCGACTATCACGGTGACGCGTCGGTTGGTCTCCTCAGACACGCGCCGTCCCATTGCCACCCCAGAGGCCGAAACCACGGGCAGACCTAGCGGCACGGAGTCCGAAGTGCCAGCTAGGTCTGACTCCGCTTCGCCAGTCTTCATGATGGTCTGACCGAGCGACAAGCAGAAGGAGCGACGGCACGGAGTCCGAAGTGCCAGCTAGGTCTGGACCGGGCTCTTGCACGGCTCTTCAGCAAGGTACTCCAAAAGAAATTTCTGCCCGCCAACACCGCTTGGCTCACTGTCGTGTCAGGAAGAGGCAGACTCCCTAGGGTGGGCGACGGCTAGCGCACCACACACCTCTCCTTAAAATCCCTGTGTGGTGGCGGCGTGCCGTCCTCCCACTCCCATCCCTCCCTTGGGGTGTGTGTTTTCTTTCTTTCTTTTTTTCACTGTCGTGTCCCTTGTCAGGAGCAGGAGAGCCCCACCTGTCCCCCTGATCGTCCTTCCAAAATCCTGCTCGTGCAGGTGGGGACCCTGTCCTCGTCCCATCCCTCGTTTGGCGTGTCTGTAATCTTTCTTTCTTTCTTTCCCCACAGTGAGAAGAATGCGAGGTGGCATGAAGGTCGCTGCAAGAATTGGTGATAAACTGCGGAGAGAGATAGGAAGTGGTAGACGCCCGAGGGTGGGCGACGGCTAACACCACACTTCTCCCCTAAAATCCCTGTGTGGTGGCGGCACCGTCTTTGTTGTCTGTTTTCTTTCTTTCTTTCTTTTTCCCCACAGTTTTCTCTTCTCTCTTCACACCCGCGCGCGAGCGATTAGGCCAGGCCCGAAGCCTGACTCAAGCCAAGGTGGAGCACAGGGACAGGGACACCGTACTCACGTACTGACATCCTGCGGCCCCGCGCCAGCCAGGGGCGGTGGCGCGCGCCGCGCCGGGACACTTTGGACCCGCAGCCTGGCATACGCCAGGCCACAGATCCGCCGGCAGAGCCTTAAAGCTGCATCCGCGATCCGCGCCGGCTCTCAGGAGAGATCCGGCGCGGTGCTGACCGCGTCCTCGCAGGCCACCGAGTTCACGATGGTGTCCGGAGGGAAACGGTGCAGCTGCGGCATGTCGCAGTGCGGCATGCCGCAGTGCGTCACACGGCGCTCCTGCAGCAGCGCGCGCGCGGTGGTGAGGAGGGAGCAAGCCCTTGAGCTGTTGGCGGAGTCCATCGCCCGCGCACGCGCGCCGACCTTGAGGTGGTTCCACCAACAACTGGCCCAGGGGTTGAGACCCTGCGGCGTTCACGTACGGACCCGCCTCGGTATGGCTAACCTGTTGGCGAGCGGTGCCTATTGGCGCTGCGACGGCGACTGCCAGGAACGTGCAGAACACGCTCGCAAGCAGACCGTATGGCAAGGCCGGCACCGTGGCTGTGCGCTCAGCGAAGAGGACAGCCACCCTTTGAAGACGCTGATCTCGTTGGGTAGCATCATCTGTGGAAGTACAAACAAGTGTTCGAAGAGAGAGTGGACCTGAGCAATGATATGACTTGGCGGCAAATGATCGGAGTGGGCGTCAGAAGAGTCGTCCTTGCCGCTTGCGCGAGGAGAGCTCGATAAACTCGAGGGGCCAAAATATGCCGCGAGGAGGGCAGAGCTGCGACGAAAGGCGAGAGAAGAAGCGAGAGCAGGGCGAGGCAGGCGGCGGCGGCGTCGCAGAACGAGGCAGAGGAGAGCGACGCGACAGAGGAAGAAGCGACAAGAGAGAGAACGAAGAGAGTGGGACGACCGCGAGGTGGCATGAAGGTTGCAGCGAGAATCGGCGAGAGACTGCAAGAGAGATAGGAAGAGGCGGACGCCCCCAAGGGTGGGCGACGGCTAGCGCATCACACCCCTCTCCTTAAAATGGTGGCGGCGCCGTCCTCCCATCCCTCCCTTGGGTTGTCTGTTTTCTTTCTTTCTTTCTGGGACGGGAGGGCGCGCACTGGTCACTATAAACAAACACCAAAAAGAAAAGCAGGCCCCACAGAAATCCATGCCTTTCTGGACACACAGGGTGGCCCGCCACAACGACCCCTGGAATTGCGACTCGCCGCTTTCCTCCCGCTGTGATCCTGTGTGAGCTCTGTGTCTTGGTTTGCCAACAACATACCTAAAGAAAAAAGTACGTACCTACCTAAAACAGAAACCTGGAAAGTTTGGTTCCCCACGTTCGACCACTTTTCAGAGCGCAAACAACTGCGCAATCGTTGCGGGCTCAAGCGCCCCCACACCCCACACCCCATCAGGTGAGAGGACCCTCTACGGGGATGGGCAAGCACAGCCAAAGCCCGAGGTCAGACTCGTTTGCCAATCAGTCATGCGGCGGCTGCTTTGGAAAGGCTTCGCCTCATCATCGATCAGACAGATCGGGCGCACACACACCGCCACCGTTTGGCCCGTTGGATTAGGCGACGCCGTTGACGGTGTCCGAATGGCGTATTGCCGTTGTCCACATTCCCAAGACTGGCGACGCCCATCCCGCCGGCCCGCAGCACATCCGCACCGGCCCACGCACGGTAAAAACAGGGAACGCCCTCACAGGTGGCTCGAGCATTGGACACGGGCTTTGGCGCTCCAACGTGGCTGCATGCAACATTGGCACCTTCCTGAACCATGACCATATCCGACTCCGAGACACACACGTGGGTGATTCCCCCATCCATTTGTTTCAGGGACCGGCGGTCTGCCCATCTGTGCATGCCCGCGCAGCATTGCCTGCCTCAGGTGCGGCAGGCCTGTGGTTCGGCGGGCACAACTCTGCCAAGAAAGCTGGGTGGCACTCTCATCAGGCGAATCGACGTGGCGGTGGTGGAGCGTCCCTTTTTCAACATGAAGCGCCTGCTTCGGGCGTCTACTGTCCCCCGGGTCTACATGGCGAGCGTGCGCGAACCTCAGGCATGGTTCTATTCAGCGATGCAACAGTGGTGCCTCGGCCCTGCTGGGCACCGATCCGCCCGCTGCCGGCCAGGGCGCCTACCTTAAGGCGGGGCCCACAGTGACAGTCACACGATTCACATTCGCGGGCTGGAGAGTAGGACAACGGTCTCCGACCTCCTGTGCGCGCGCGCCCGCCGTCGCTGGAGATGTTCTGACAAACGCGCCTACCCCCGTGCGTGCGTTCCTGTAGGCGGGCCTCTTGGTTTGGAGTCAGCGCCAACCTTAGCAACGCTGAGAGGCAGCTCGACTACTTTTCACAGCCCGACCTGCAGTCGGGCTGGCTTGGCGACATCTGGCTGGAGGAGCACTGGCTTGTCTGCGCCACCGAGCTGCATAACCACACGACGGCTGCTCTTGGCGCGCTCCACGGCGACCCGCGGATGATCCCGTCGATGCACATGAACGTGCACCACTCATGGTCGCGCATGAAGCGATTCCGCGCCAGCCTGCCGTGGGAGGCGCTCAATCCAGCCACTTCGTCTCCCTGTAGACCTCTGGGTCAGCCACAGCCTGCCCCTCCCTTTCCCTTCTTGTCAGGCGCTTAGACGCTTCTACGTCCGTGACGAGGCGCTCTATCGCCGCATCGCCGCGGCGGGCTGCCTCGCCCACAGCTCGAGCCCTGCGTTGAGGAGCGCGCTCGATGCAGCGGTGCCCCAAATTGAGTGGATGCGATAGCGATATCAGCGGCGGGGGCTCTTATGTCTCCCGCAAAGATAAACCCATTCGCGAAGGGAACGAGAAAAAGAAAGAAAGAAAACAGACAACCCAAGGGAAAAGAAAGAAAGAAAGAAACCAGACGGCCCAAACGAGGGATGGGGGAGGAGGACAGGGTCCCCACCTGCACGAGCAGGATTTTGGAAGGACGATCAGGGGGACAGGTAACCCAAGGGAACGAGTGATGACGTTATGAATTCTTCTGCAATCCCGCCGCATTAGGCCGCAGGGCGCGCCCCATGGAGTATTCCTTCGGCTTCGTTGGCGTCGGCACGATGAACGCGGCCATCGTTCGCGGCATCGCCACGCTGCCCGCGCCACCAAAGTCGCTCGTCCTCTCGCCGCGCGGCGCCGCCCGCGCCGCAGAGCTCAGCGCCGAGTTTGGGCCGCTCGTGACGGTGGCCAAGGACAACCAGGCGGTGGTGGACGCGTCCGACGTGGTATTTGTCGGCGTGCTCCCGCGGCTTGGCGAGGAGGTCCTGCGCGCCCTCCGCTTCAGCGAGAGGCACACGGTCGTCTCGCTCCTCTCCACAATGCCGCTAGCCGAGGCGCGGCGACGCGACCGCCGCCTCCTCGCTGTCCCTCGCTCCCTCCCCTGCGCCAGGGAGGCCGAGTCTCCCGCCTCCCGACGCACCATCGCGCGCGCCCGTTCCCCTGTGTCCAGGTGCGGGCATGCTGTGCGCCCGTGCCGCCCGCGTCGGTCGTGCGAGCCATCCCGCTGCCGCCCGTCGCAAAGCAGCGGGGCGCATGCGTCATGACGCCGCGGCACGCGCCGGTGGCGGCGCTGTTCTCCAAGCTCGGCACCGTCGTCGAGGTGGACAGCGAGGAGGAGATGCGAAAGATGATTGGCATCACCTGCCTGATGGGCCAGCTCTACGCGCAGCAGCTCGCCGCACAGAGCTGGCTGCAGGAGCAGGGCGTGGACGCGGGCGCAGCAGCGAGGTGGGTGGGAGCCGTCTACCACACCGTCTCGTACGACTCCGCCACGCCGGGCCCGGACACCTTTGCCTCGCTCGTCGAGGAGCAGACCCCGGGCGGGCTCAACGAGCAGGTGCTCCGCGAGATGAGGGAGGCGGGCGCCAGCCTCGCGCTGCGCGACTCGCTCGACGACGTGCTCGCGCGCATCGAGGGCCGGCCGGCCGCCGCGCGCGAGCGGACGGCCTACTCGTCCTCGCCCGCTGATCCGAGCCCCTAGGCCACGCCGCGCAGGGGCGACTTCACGGCGAGGGTCGGTGACGAGGCTGGGGGCAGCGTGGCGCGGCACCCGTGCTGGCCGACAACGCGAGGTCATAAGGGTGTCCGCTTGTCATCAGGACGGGGCGGCTCGTCGTGGTGTCTGAAGCAACGCCACAACGCCAGACATGGCCGGCGCCGGGTTTCTCGCTATCGGCTGTGCCGCCCACGCCCCATGATACATGCGACGAGGTGTCGGTGATCCTGATCGGTCTTCGGTGACCGCGGTGTCTGGTGTCAAAGTCTCGTGTCTGTGCCGTGTGTCATGTGCGTGCGTGGTGTTGTCACTGAGCCAACGTAATAATGGCCTACAGAAGAATCTCGTACACACACACGCCACACCGACGCTCGTCTCGTCTCTCGACGCATCCGCTCTCTAAGGAGAGTCAACCACTATATCTCGCAGAGCCAGAGAGAGGTGTTAAAAATGGAATGATTGTGTACATTGCGCCCGCACGGAAACGATCACTGTGTCCGCGTGGAAGGAGCGAGTCAGTGTGTTCGGCGACCGATCGCTGCGCGGCGACTCGCCGCCCCGCGCGCTCTCTCTTCCATTACCTTGACGCATCGAACCCCTCAGCAGACGCTGCACCCCGTGCAACCGCTGGGCATGCTGTCGTACGCGATCCACGTGAGCACCTGAGGAGGGGGCAATGCCGCGGTAGGAGTTGTCGGGCGGCGGCCGTGAGGGACGGCCTTGAGGGAGAGCGGAGCGAACACATGGTCAAAGGCATGGCGCAAAGCCCACGCCGCCGCCTTCTCCTTTCGCTCCCTCGCATGTCCACCGTCCGCCTCCTCCGCCTGCGGCGGGGCGAGACATGAGCTGCCCACACAATGGGTCGAGTTTGAATACTTCGGGGCAGGGAAGCGGGGGAGTCCTCGCGCAGCAGCGACTCGGCGCTTGCCACCGCCTCCTACCAAGTCTCTCGGGGGGTGAGGGAGGCCCCTCCCGTCCCTTCCCCTTCCCCCTCCCCCCCCCCCCCGCCTCCGTTCCCCTCCCCTTCCCCTCCCCTCCCCCCTCTCGCCGCGAGACCTGCAGCGAGTCGCGAACCAGCCGCGCGCCTAAAAGGGCGAGGTGAGCAAGCCTCACCACAGAGAGAGGTGCTCGAGAGAGCTGTCAAGAGCACACAGCTCGCTGCGCCGCTCACGCGCAGCTCCTCCCGCGCCGCACGTAAGTAGATGTCGGCGCACCGCCTCGCTTGCCCGCGATTGTACGCCGGCGCGCCGCGAGCGATCGCGTCCCTCAGCCGCTGGGCGGTGCCCTCCAGCATGGAGGGGTCGGCAGAGCCGGGAGGGGGGGAGGCTCGCGGCAGCGCGGAGGAGGGGCGGGCGGACTCGTCGACCGTCGCGAGCCAAAGCCCGCCCGACCCGGCCTCGACGTAGGAGCGGCCCAGCCGCACCAGCGCCTCGCCGCGCCCCCTCACGTCCGCCTACGGCGCCGGAGGAAGCTCGTGCTGTGCACCCCCCCTCCGGAGCCTCCCCACACGGCACCAAGCCGCCTCCCCTCCGGCGCGGAAGCGTGCGCTCTCCAGCACCACCAGCAGCGCCGCCTGCGGCTGGAGCCCGGCCTCGCCCGGCGCGGTCGGCTCGGACTGCGCCCACAGAAACCTGGCGCATGAAAACGGCTGGGGGCGTGGACGCGGCATCGTGCAGCGCATTCAGAGCACCGCGTGAGTGCGACTGCCAGGTCGACTACGGCATCTAGGCGGAAGCCTGCGGTCTCCCTCCCAGGCGCGCCGCGCCAGAAGCCGGTAGCGCGGCTCGAAAAAGTGGAGCGAGACTGTTGCCCCCGGTGCAAAGCCTACTCGAAGGCAGGAGAGGCTGAGAGGGCGGCGGTTGCCCAAGGTCTGGCTCCGAATGTCGCAGCCGTGCCACGTTCGGATCCTCGCATGACAAAGAGTGGATAGGGCCCGCTGTTCGCCGCCGCCATCTTCTCCAGCGTGGCGGTGGTGTGGGCTCGCCGCGCCTCCAGCTCATCCGGAGGTACTGCCTCCTCGATCTTTGCGGCAAGCCCTTGGTCGAGGGCGTGTGTCTTTGGGTCGAAGCTAATTTCCGCGCGGCACTGCGGACAGGCGCCGCCATCGGGCGCGAGCCGCGAGGCCTGGAGTAGGCAGAGGCGGCAGAAGCTGTGGCGGCACTTCAGCGTGAGAGGCTCGAACAGGAAGTCGAGGCAGATGGAGCAGAGGATGTCGGGGTCAAGAGAGGCGGCGCAGCCGGCGCCGTCGTCCGCCTCCTGTCCCGCCTCACTCACGTACAGCTCGTCTGTTGCCTCCTGGGTGGATGACGTGACTGAGGCAGCCTCGGTCGTCGAGGTTGTTGCCTCCTGGATGGATGGATAGCTCTCACCGCGCCTGAAGTTGATGTCCTCCACCGGTTGGGCCGCGGACCGTAACGAAGTAGCACTCCTCATGTTGCAGACCTTCATCGGAACCTTCGTAGAAAAGAGAAAAAAACTCGCGCAGGACGCACGCCGTCCTCCCACACAGGGATGTTAGGAGATAGCGTGGTAATTTTAATCTACTCAGAGCGGTGGTTGAGGCCAATTTCGCGGAAGTCGACGGAAGACCTTTCGAGAAACGAGCTCGGTACCCTCGGTTCGGGCTGAAATTGACAAACAACCAAATCTCTGAAATGAAATTGCCATTGCAGGCATGCCCACAGGGTCGGGCGTCACGGTGCTCGTGGCAAGCCGATCTCCGTCACTCTTGTGACTTGTGGGCTTGGTGGTGTTGCCTCCGGTGCTACTGCTGGCTAGGGTGCCAATGGCGCGACGGGAGGCGGCCATTGGCGCCACTACACAGCAACGAAGAACGATGTGCGGGGTGCGCGCTGTCCGCTGTGCCTCGCCCTCGGGTTCGTGCGTCGCCCATCTGTCCCGGAGATCCCTGCTATATTTCTTTGTTTACACCCATGCCTCCCATAGCGGGTCAGCAAGCCCTAAAACGGCGGGAGGGGTAGGGCTTATCGGAAGAGCTAGAGGGCTCAGCCACCCCTCCACCCCCTCCACCCTGCACCCCTCCACCCTCCCGGAGCGAGAGAGGTCCGTCCTCGAGCCCTCCCACTTCCACCCCTCCGACCGGAGGGCTCGCCAGCCCACAGGGCTGGAGGGGTCCCCGTCGGATCGGCGTCGGGAGGGCTCCACAGGGCTAACCCCCTCCCCGGACGCCGGGTGGGCTCGGAGGGACGGTCGGACAAGGGAGGATCTTCGTGGCGGTAGGGCTCGAGAGGGGTCGGAAGGGCCCTCCGGGAGGGGTCGCAAAAAGAAAAAAAACGATGTCGCGGCTTATGGTCTTCTGCCCCCCAAGAGGGCTCGGAGGGCTCGGAGGGCTCCA